GACGCTGGTTCTGAAGGATGTGGTTGCGAAGTTGCCGGCCAGGGGCCAGGAGTTTGCGATCCCGGCGGAGACGAGGGAGGCTTTTCACCGGTTTGCCTTCATCAGGAAGGATACGCTGCTTGCGACCAGCACGACTGGGAGGTTACTGGTCGGCTCGTTTGGGACGGAGCTGACCTGGGAGGAGATTGGGACCGACGGGACAACTTTGAGCGCTTTGAGGGCTTGCACGAGTCTCAAGAGCCCGATGGAGGGACTGGCGTTATTGGGTACTGCGAACAAGAAGATTTTCTTGTTCGGGGGAGGAGAGATTCGCGAGATCGGGACGGTGCCTGGGAAGGTTGCCGACATCTTCTGTCTGGGTTCTTCCGAGAGCGGAAAGCTCGAGTTCCTGGTCACGATACTCGGCGGCGAGGAAGCGATGCAGCTCCTCACGCTCGATCTGGAGACCTCAGCCATCACATCCATGATCCCCGTCGACCTCGACAACCGCTTCGTCTTCACAGCAGCCTGTCTCGTCAACGACCTCCTCGTGCTCGGCTCGCGACACGGACACATGGACGTGTTCCGTCGTTCGGGGGCCCAGCTCACCCCCTTCCCCGCCCCGGATCGCCGGACGGCGGACAGCACCACCTCCATCAAGCCTCTGGCGACCTCGCCCGAGAAGCACATCATCACGACGAGCAGAGACGGGAACTACCGCATCTACGAAATCGGCCCGTCTTCGCTCGTCCTCCGCCACGAGACGGCGCCCACAGCAGTCCCGAATCTCGAAGACTCCTGGATGTCCGGGACGGACCTGATTCTCTGTGGTTTCCGCAGCAAGAACTTCGTGGTGTGGAACGAGACGCGCCACGAGGAGGTCCTGAGGCTTGACTGCGGAGGCGCCCATCGCGCTTTTGCGTATGATAGGCAGGACAGGGTCAGGTTTGTCTTCAACAAGGCTGCTACGCTCGGCGTGTATGAACAGCCCGAGACGCAGAAGGCGGTGGCCTGGCACAGGACGTTGAAGAGAGGCACGCACGGTAGAGAAGTTAGGGCCATTGCGTTCTCCGGGCGGTATATCGCCACGGGTGCCGAGGATACCGCTATCCGTATCTGGGAGCACAAGGACTCGGAGAAGCCGCTTCAGAGGAAGATGCGTTGCGTAAAGGTCGTCAAGGTCCACACGGCCGGTCTTCAATCTCTCAAGTGGCTTGGTGAGGAGCTCCTCTTCAGCTGTTCCGGTAACGAGGAGTTCATGGTCTGGCGGGCGACGGATCTTGGCGCCGCTGGGCTGGGACTCATGCGCGAGGCCGTCTTCGAAGACAGAAGCGCCGACGGAGACTTGCGAATCACGAGCTTTGATGTCGCGCGGGTGGAGGGGGTGGTGGGAATCACCATGGCATTCTCCAACTCGGTCGTCAAGACGTATCGCTACTCAGCGGACAAGGGATTCGAGCTCCTGGCGACGGGCCGGTACACGGGCGCGTGTCTCACTCAGGTGCGGCATTTGAAGGTCCAGGACGGCACGTGGGAGGTTGTCACTGCCGCCACGGATGGCTGTGTTGGTGTCTGGAAGAGCGAGGGTGGAGAGTTCGTATTGGAGCACACTGTCAGGGTACACCAGAGCAGTATCAAAGCTCTGGATGTCCACAGCACTAAGGAAAGGGTTGTACTCTTGACCGGAGGCGATGACAATGCCCTTGGCATCACGACCCTTGACCCGAAGGACGGGTTCAAGCCGGTTGGCAGGGCGGGTGTGAGAAAGGGGCACGCAGCTGCCATCAACGGGCTCACGGTACTGAGGGTCACGGAGCGTGGGGAGATTGTGTACGCGACTGTGAGCAATGACCAGAGAGTCAAGATGTGGCGGGTCGGCTGGCGACAGGGCGTTGAAGAGGTCGCTTTGTTAGCAGACCAGTACAGTGGTGTTGCTGACGCTGGTGATTTGGAGGTTATCGAGGGTGGCAAGGTCGTGGTTGGCGGTGTTGGGTTGGAGGTTTGGGACTTTGGTGCAACGGTTTGATGAGCATAAGATATCCGTGGATAGATAAAAAGGACGATTAGGGATAGAGGCGAACAGACGCAAGATGAAGTCTATATTGGCTATTTGAGTCATATTTATTACGTTTACCAATAAGTGAGCAATAACGACGACCATCATGGCATGTTCCATTTGTAGTAGTCAGATCCATTCTGCGGTACATCACACCGGCCTCATTCTTTTAGTTCGATGTCTAAGCCCATGGCCCGTCCGGTTATTACGCAGTCCCGAGGTTGGCGTTCTCCCGGAGCTTGTAGTAGTTCCTACAAGCCTGGTCTTCACACCATGTGACCTCCTTAAACTCATCGTCCTCGGTGAGGTTGTGAGACACCAGGTCCAGAGCAAGGTACCACCCAGGGCTCGAAGGCGTCAACGGTCGTCCTCGATCATCCGTCGTGGAAAAACAGCGAGAAAGTTCTAGTATCAAACACTTTTTATGCTTGCCACAGCGGCGAAATTCAGACTGTAAATACGACTTGGCGTTCTTTGCCCACTTGAAATTTTCATGGCCATCTGGATTTAAGTGAGCATTGGACATCGTCAAGACCTGGCCCGGTGGACGAACAACAACTTACCAGGACTACGAGGGCAGTCTGCCAGCCAGTTCGGCGCTTTTGGTGCTTTGGGGTGAAGAAGAGGTTCGAATATGCCTCTGCCTTCGGAATGTAGGCAGAGACAAAGATTGGGGTCGAAGCAACCCATAGGGTCCAGGCGCCGTGGCCCTTTCTCGGGATACCACAGCAATGGGTCGCGCGCTTGTTCTTCTGCCAGTCTTTGTCGCAGCTTATCGGCGTTCAAACGAAAGGCCCGGGGAATACGGGGAAACGACATATGCACCGTCTTCACCAAACACATCCACTGGCCTAATACGAAGGCATCGTACTCAACCGGTGGTAGGCCAGGCTGGTGAGAGGCGTGCTCGCACAATCTCAAATAGCCGCCGTCTCGGGGAAATTTTGATGCCTCTGAAGATGCCTTGACGAAGTCATCCCAGGTGAATGTCTTGTGCTCACACAAGCGGATGTTTCCCTCACGACCGATGCATATTCGTTCGAGTGCCGCCTTGTTGCGCTCGGCCGCCGAAAACAAGCTGGCGGTGTGCTTTTGTTTGCATCCAGAGCAATACAATTGACATCTTGCTTTGGAAAACTTCCAATCAAATAGGTTACGATTCGCATAGCAGGGCGCGCAGAACACACTCGGTGCTCCAAACTTCAACGCGTCCACCGAACCTGGCGCTTGCACTGGCGATGCCCATAGGAATTTGTAGTCGCTGCCCTTGTACCGCCACTTTTCGAACTCGTGAGACGAGAATAGGCGCAGGAACTCGCGAGATGCCCGCCGGAGCTGACATATTGCCGTCAAGTCGAGTCGTTGCATCATGTTGAGGAGTATGTGGTCGGGCAGTCCGCATAGAGGGCTCTTCGCGGCGTTCTGCCAGACCGCAGCCATCCACGGGTCAATCCTTGCGTTCTTTGGCCATCCCAAAGCATTCAAATTGTTTCTGGACTTGGAACCATGTGTCTTTGGAGTGCTCGCCGCTGTAGTTTTGTCGTCGGTGGCACAAGGCCTGTCCACATAGCACACTTGGACGACGTCGCTTTCTTCACTGTTCGCCGATCTGTCGTCCTAGCTGATATCAGCTTTTGTGCTTAACAGAGTGAACTTTTCTAACCTACTGATTCTTCGTCACTTTCTTCATCACTTCCTTTTCCACTCTCTTCATCGTCAGTAGTGGCCCAGTCGCTAATTTCCTCTTCACTTTCTTCGTCGTCGGTAGTGACCCAGTCGCTGCGTGCATCGTCGATTGTACCATCATCCTTCTCTTGGAGACGCATCGATTCTTCGAGACTAATCGAATCTTCGAGATTCAAGATCCTCTGTAAGAAGTAAACCAGGCAATGTGCCATTTTCTGACTACCACGTCGGAGCGTACCATGTTGGTTGCTAGAATTCTCGAGTCCACGCGGACAACAAAAGTCTTAAACACAGATAGCCGTCTAGGTTGAAGCCACATAGAAGCCGTATATACACGTCGTGACTTTACCACTGCACCATTGGCTGTTCTCCATTGAGGCATACGGCCAAGAGGGTTCCTAGACTTTCGGCTAGGCTCGGAAGCCTACCTTGAGGACAGAGAGTCGAAGCAGGACTAAAGACATCGACAACGAAAATAAAAAATCCAAACACCCCCAGTTCACGTGCCGACTTGCTTTGGACGACATCTATGGACAGACTCAACACAACAGAGACAGAGATCTGAATTATGTGCCGTAGATCTCTACTTACTAATGCGGTTCGCGAGTATGCCTTTCCGCAGGCTGTATTTGCTGTGTTCAACGTCCTTACCGTCGTCTAATTCCTCATTATCACTACTTTATCCATAACCCGCACTACCGATCTGCGAATCTTTCTTCAGAAAACCAACTAACCACGAGATGCCCATGCTCAGCGACTTTGAAGTTACACAAGTCGTCGATGTAACCACTAGAGCATGCGGAGAGCTTTAAACCCCTGCTCCATTCGCCAGCCTTAAAACCGAATCTGCCACTCAGGGTGTAAGCGAATCTGACATGCATACAACCAAGCCTCTTCCTGCTCCGCCAGAATGAGCCGTTCTACTCCGTTCGTACGCTCGAAACAGGAATAGATTGGCCCGTCTTCGTCTCCGGTAGGTGCAGGGCCCTCGCCTTTGCATCGCAGACAAGCTCCTGGCCCTGGTCGCGCTGAGTTTTAGTTTTTGGACCCTACGATCCTTCAAGAGAGTAGGTATGATTAGGTAGCAGCGGTCTGCCTTAACCCACCCTGGTCGATGGACGGTAACTGAGACTAGGACTCTGGAGGCAGCAGAATTAAAATCGATGACGCCCTTTCTTCCCGTGTTCCTTCGTTTCTTCGTAGTCCCCTCCGTCTCTTTCGGTTTTGCCGCTCGAGAGGCGTGTGTTCCTGTCTCACGCAGAGGCGTACAACGGTGACCATGCAATCCCTGGCTTTTGTCAAAGCCTGCGTCCTGACGGCGGCGGCGGCTCTCGCGTCTACAGCGATAGCTGAATCAACCTGGATCAGGCCAGACGCGAGTGGCGACTCCAACTTTAGGGGCTGGCACATCCAAGGCGTTACCAGTAAGTCGCCACTTCGAGACTATCACGAGCTTTCTGGACATGACTGACCTTGCACTTACATGATGAACAGCGAGTCCAAAGTGGTGCGCAAACGGCCAGTTTAGAACAACGTCCGCGGGCTACGCGGGCTGTTGTACGGATACGAAGTGCCCCCTTCCTACCGACTGCCGTAGTAATGTCATTACTTGGGATGGAGGGAGCACGCATGACTGCAATGCCGGGGCGACCTGCTGGACGATGTCGGTTTACGCGACACCACCTGCAGATGGGGCGTTCAACAGAGACATCTGGTGTGCTGGTGCCAACACGGAGACGGAGCTGTTTTTGTCGATAGCAGCAACAGCAACCTCTTCGTCTTCTACCGGTTCGTGAAAACCCAACTCTTGCCAGCAACTCGCTCTGTGTTAACTCTTAGACGAAATAGGCCAAGCAACTTCCACTTCCACCAGCGCGAGCACTCCGACGAACACCTTCGCGGGCTCAGATTCGAGTTCAGGTTCAGGCTCGAGTAGCAAGGCATGGATAGCCGGCGTCGTCGTCGGCCCGCTTGTGGGAATAGCGCTTGGAGTGCTGGTTTTCTTCATGCTGAGAAGGAGATGGAAGAAGAAGCATGCTGCTGCGGCCGCTCCAGAGGGCCAGGAGGGCGCTGCGGCCAGCCATGGAATGCAGCAAGACTGGTCCAAACAGACACCTCCTGGATATGGTCAGCAACAATGGCAGACTAGCCCACAGCCTCCTCCATCGGAGATAGAAACAAACCGGTGGGCTGGGGGTCCCAGGGAGATGGACTCGGGATATCCTGCAGCTGAGTTGGACGGAGGACATGTGGCAAGGAATTGACTGCTCTGCTTACAGCCTGGATTGCTTCTCAGAGGCACGCTACTGACACTGTGCTAGACAGGATATCCAAGGTAGCTTATCGAAACATGATTGGTGAACCCCTCTACTACAAGAAAACACGTTATTCAGGAATTAACTTCTTCATCGTCAGCCGTTGTTGCGATTTGCTGACGGTAGGAGATGCACCAAGTCTACGACTTAGTAACCTGATAGTAGAGCTAAGCGAGACTACAAGATCCCCCTAAAGAATGTCATTGAAGAGAAAGCCAACCTTTTCTGAATTTTCATGCTTATTGCATTCGCATTCACAAAGATTCAAAAAATTAAAATTAAGAATTCACATAAGAATCATAAAACAGTACAGTCTGTTACACTAATAGCGTCCGCCCCCCCTTTTTACTGAAATTATATATATATAATCCCTATATATATATATAAAATTACTTAACACTATATAGATATTTATAATATAGTAATTAACCTATTTTAATAGCTTTGATTAATCTATTCCTATTAAATCTTATAATCTAAAGGTGGTATAATACCTCTTAAATAATACTATATATTTTAGTAAGTAAATAACAATTTATCTAAATATTATCTATTACTTCTTATTAATAATATATAGAAATAATAATATATATAATAACTAATATAAAATACTGTTAAAGATTCTCTTTAATATTTTATTTTGCTATTAATTAGAATTATTACACTTATGAAGAGGACTTATTAAGCTATTATTATTAAAATAACTACTAAAGAAGTTACTAAAAAGATTATTAAAAAAGTTATTATTCCTAAAACTAATCTTAAAACTAATAATTTAATAGCTTTTAAGTCTATATTATAAAGAAAGTATATACATATAGCCTTTCTATTATTATAAAAACTTTAAAAATATGTTTTATTAAAAAATAATAATAATATAAAAGAAATAAAAAAAGGATTTATCATAGAAAATCTAGCTTTAAAATACTTTATCTTTATTAATACTATTATTTTAATTAAATTTGACTTTAGTTAACCTAACTTTTTATTAAATTAGTTATTTAATTTATAAATAATATATCTATTAATCTTTTACTATAATATTAATAATATATTTATATTATTTCTTAATATATCTAAAAAAGAGAAAAAGATAAATAATAATAAACTAGTTTTATTATAAATCTACGTTATTTATAGCTTAATACTTAAAAGTAATAGTTTATTTATTCTTAATTTAATTATTAAAAGTATTATATATAATAGATTTAGCTTTATTAATATATTAAATATAAATAATAAAAACTAAAAACTAAATAGTAGTATTTAATTTAAACTAGAAGTAGTATATTTATATAATCTAAAAAAAGCTAATATTACTATTATTATTATTTAGAGAAAACTAACTAATATATTTAAATTAATATTAATCTTCACTTAAATATATCTATCTATTAAAGAAGTTATTTAGTTAAATATCTTATTAGTTAATATTATTCTTTCTTTTAAATAAACTAAAAGAAAAATCTACTTCACTATTAAGTAGTAATATAATTTTATATTAATCTCTAATAGAATAGTAACTAATATATAAATATTTTAACAAATAATTAAATAAGCGTTTTAGCTAGTATATAAAAAGTAATTAATTATAAGCTTAATAATTTTATAAATATTAAGTGTTAAAAAGAAGGTATGTATAGATAACTTCTCTATATATATATATCTATTTAAAATACTATAAATATAAAAATAATTTAAGGAATAAGAAGTTTAACTAATACTATATATTAAATTAAAAGTATTATAAGATTAAATCTTACTATGTAGAGAAATAAATAAAAGCTATTCTAAATAAATAGATTAATATTAATAATATAGAACTGTTTAAAGAACTATTTAGTAAGATATTTTATAACTAGTTTATTAAGGATTAGAAACGCTAAAATAAGAGAAATAAAAATATTATTAAAGTTAGTAACAATTAGAAAATAATAGTAATAATAGAAAAAAAGGCTAAAAATGTTATATTTCTATTATTAAAATTAAGATTTAGCCTAACTAATATTAATAGTAGTAAGTTATTATTATTAATATATATAGTAATATAGAAATACTAAATTATTATTTTTAGTATTTTAACTTATATATATAGCTATTATTACTAATATTATTATCATTAATATATTAGCTACATATAAATATCTTATAATATTTATTATTAACTTTTCTATTATTAAACTTTCTAAATATTTATTAACTAAATATTATACTTCTAATTTATTTATTCTTATTAACAATACTAAATTTACCCTAAAAAACTTTAGATTAAATAGCTAGTTTTATTGAATAGTTTATATTTATTATAATAAATAATATAATATGAATAAAAAGTTAAAAAAAAAGCTATAGAAACTATAATTAATAAATAATAGCTTAGAAATGATTTATAAATTACTAAATATTTAGTTAACTAAATAAGGTTTTATTTAAAATCTTATTAAAAATAGTAAAAACTTAATTAAATCCTTTATAAATAATAGGACTTATTATAGAAAGTAGTCTAACGCTCTCTCTAATATAATTTCTTATCTTAAACTTTATTTATATTATTAAACGTTAGAAAGAGATATTTATATTAAAATATATACTAAACTACTAAAAAAGATAACAATAACGTTAGTTAAAAACTTTATAGCGTTAATTTTAAATAAATTAAAGTTATTTTAATATGTTAATACTTTAATATTATATTAATTTACTAAATAAAAGATCTATAATATATTAATTAAAGTTAATTAATATAACAAATATGTATAGATCTATTTATTATTAAATATAGCTAATTTTATAAGTATTTTAGAACTTTTTAGTTTTATTTTATTAGTATTCCTATTAATATTATAGATATTATTTATATAGTTATAGATTAAATAAAATAAAGTTAAGCTAAATAATAAAGATAGTTAAATTAAAATCTTAAGTAATATGTTATTAATAAAGATATATTACTTAGAAGAAAATAAAAAAAAGAGTAATATAATAAGAATAATATGAAGTGTAACTATATATATAATTTTTATATAGTATATTTAATTATAGAAAAATCTATTTATAGTTATAGATTTAATACTACTACTCTATATATATAAAATAATAAAATTATTATAATCTTAGATCTATAAATAATATAATCCATTTTAATATTTCCTAGTTAGTTATACTTAAAATCTCTAATTATACTTAAAATCTCTAACTATAGTAATATATTATTATTATAAATTATTACTATAAATATTAATAATATATTTCGGCTACTATATAAATAAAATTAATATATATATGTAGCTACTAATAAAAATAATAGATAGTTATATATTTCATATACTTTAGTATATTTATAGTTAAAACTTTTATAATGTTACTAGCTATAATTATATATTTAATAATCCTCTTTCTTATAATAATATAATTAAAATCTATTATAATTATATAATAAAGATTTAAATTACTTATTAACGTTTAATATTTATAATTTATCCTCTTTTTTATAATTTAATACTATTAAATATATATTTTATTCTATTAAAATTAATAAATAAATAGCAAAAATAGCTTTTAATTTGTAATAGATAACACTTAATCTCTATAATATAATTATATAGATATTCTATAAAATCCTAAATATTATTCTTATTATTGTTCTATTTTAAATATATCTTCTTAATATATTATTTTAGATTACTAAAATACTCCTTAATAAAACTAAAATCTGATAAATATAGAGGTAGAAACTTAAAATTAATACTTAATATTTAGTATAAATCTTCAATTTAAGATATATAATAATAAGAGAAGTTATTTATATTAATAATAATAAAGTTTAGCTTTAGAAAATATTTATATTTTAAAATAAAATACTCTTTTAACTAATGTAAAAAGCTATTACTATTAGTTATATTATAATATATAATTAAATATAAAATACTATTTAATATAAAAACTAATAAGATTAATACATAAAAATTTTAAAACTAATTAATCTCTATAATTTAAAACATAATAAGCTTTTTTAGTATTTATTTAGTCTTCTATATCTTAATATCCTTATTAATACTAAGTTTATTAATAAATACTAACTAGTTAGAGTAATATTATTATATATAGTATAAATATTTATATTATAGTTTGTCATTTTATTAAGTAATAATAATTATAAACTTCTTATTTATTTAACTAAATAAATTTAATTATTAACTAATTATAAAATAATTAATCTAAATCTTAAAAGTTTTAAATAGGAAATCTTATATCTTTTTAAGAAATAGATTATTATAATACTATAGTAGTTTAAAAAGGTTTATATAATATTATATTTCTATTTTCTATTAATTCTAATAATATTTCTTATATTTTTATATTTTATTAATAATACTATATTATAATCTATATTATTAAATCTTTTATTTAGTATAGCTAATAATACTTACTAGCTTGTAAGTTTTTTAATCTTTGAATCATAATATTATTATAATTGCTAACAGCTATAAATGTAATATTCTAGATATTATTATATTATTATTATTATTTAATATCTTTTTTAATATATCTAATATAATAAACTGTAAATATATACTAACTAATAATACATAAGTAATAATTAATAACTAAATGTAATTTATATAATAATAAATCTTTAATTATAAATAAGCTAAACTATCAAGAGAGTTATTACTTTTATTAACTATTAAAACTATTTATTCTAAAAAACTTATATTAAGCTTTTTAATATATTTTTATATTACTTAAAACTATATAAACTATATATTAAATAGATATATAAAGTTATGTAATAAGTTTCTTCTTCTATTCTTTAGTAAATATTATTTTAATTTCTTATAAAAATAAAAAATACTTTTTACTAGTTAATTAGTATAGAGATAAAATAACTAACTAAGTTAGTAATATCTCTATAAGTAAATTAACTACTATAGAAGTATTAGATATGTATTTTATATCTCTATCACATAGTTATATATTTAAATATTACTATAATTAGTTATAATAATTAATAGTAATTAAAGTACTAGCGATAGATTTAGTGCGTTTTACATACGATACGGAAAAATATATATCATAGCGTAAAATTAGCTTTTTTTTCATGTTTTTATATAAGCAGGGAAAAAAAGGGGGGGCGGACGCTATCAGTGCAACAGACT